CAATTTTAATATGATTGTACACCGTATCGAGAAGTGTTTTCTCTACGGATTTCGAATTTATTTCCGATGGCTTCATTTTCGTAGTCGAATGTTTCGTACTGTTATATCGAGATGTTATATCTTTTAATAGGTGCACCCATTTATGATTTCCATATAGACTGAAGAACTTGTATATCCTCTGTTTAACGGTTCGAATTACACGTTCAGCCATCGACGCTTTCATAACGCTATACGATGAAAAATGATTAATTTTAAAATCCGACATCAACCGTTTAAATTGACTGTTGTAGAACTCTTTGCCCTGATCGGTTTGTAGATTTCGAGGCGCGCGACCGTCGTCTGTGAGAATTGAGCGTAGCGCTGCGGTGACGTCCGTAGAATTTTTACTTTTTAACGGACGCGTCCAAAGAAACTTGGAGAAACAGTCTATAACCACTAATATATATTTATATCCGGAATTCAATCTGGCAAACTCAATCATTTCAATTAGATCCGCCTGCCATAGATCATCGATCCCCTTCAGGATGGTTCTTCGTCTAGCGAAAATACGTCTAGCGGGGCGATGGAGCTCCTCCACAATGACACGTTTCGCATCTGACACCTTCTCCATTGTGACAATTAAGGTTTGAGACCAACCTTTTTCTCTAATATATCAAGTCGGGAAAATATAGCGGAATCCATGAGGTCAACTCGCGACTTTTGCGCACCGATCGACTGTCGTATATTCGATATGAGCGTATCAATCACCGATAGACGATTTGTAATGCGATTTAGATTTAAAGGTATATCGGTGTTATCAATTTCTGTTGACAGCTGATCTATACGTTTACTATGACCTCCAATAATAGTTTGAAGGTCCGCTATTATGACGCTAATTTCGTTTAAGATTGTAGCTTTCAACGTCTTACATATTTCGTCTACGTAAAATTTTATCGCACAATCGTTTTCATCCGTCGGTTGTTGAACGTTAGATAGTTTACGCCCCTGGATATCATAATCACCATCTATGGTTAGAGGTAATCCAATACTTCGTTGAAATGTAGATAAATTCTCATCACTCAATAGTCTATTCCGTGAAGAACGAAATGTACGACCAAACTTATCTATGCTCACACCACTTACGCTTGACCCACTGCTCGTCGGTACATATAAATTATTATTATTATTATTATTATTAACACCGCTCTCTTTCAGTGCTTCTATAATGGATGTAATTTCATTAATACGGGAATTGTTTCCTGTCGCATGTGACGCGTACAATAATCTCAATCGATCTACCAACTTATTAACATCATCCCAGTATTTATACTCAACGATTTTAGAGTTCACTTCAAGATGTTCTCCGGATATTAATCCACCTCCTGATTTATTAGATGTAAATAAAGGTTTAATAATTTTAGTATACTTGTACGATTTATTTCCAATTATTGGACCCGTAAAATTTCGCTTATCGATCCTCTTCAGTATGACTTGTAGGTCGCTTTAACTGTATAAGTTCATATAACCCCGGAGTGTTTTGAATACGTTTTTCACCTCCAAGGATAATATGGGATGGTTTAAATTGAACAGTCTTCGATCCAATCATCCAATCGTTTTCATCATGATCATAACGTATACCCATTCTCTCATCAATTTCCCCTCTTTTACCAAACGTATAATATAAATCCCGAATTTGTATCGGTAGATTTTCTATAGGTAAATCCTCCGCCTTCAATTTTTGTTTTACATGCGGCGTTTTAAGTTCATCATCATCGCTTTCAATGGTTTTTATCTGGTTCAAAATTCGTACAGTTTTCGTTATCACCTGAAAATTTTGACCGTACAACGGCATTTAAGGAATCTTGCCCTATTTTATTGCGTTTTTTTTTTTGTTTTAACGTCATTAACTATAGAAAAAACCCTTTCAGCCTCCGCATTTAAATGAGGTAATGTTAAGACAAGTAAGGCTAATTTTGAAATAATTTCAAATATAAATATCCCAGAAAAATCTTTCATTTTCTTTAATTCTAGCCAGAACTCAACACGTGGCAGTTGTAGATTCAGCTTGTCATTATCATCAAAATGTAATGGCAAAGACCTCCATTCTAAAATTTTGTTTGGAGAAAAATTCTGTTGCCCTGGAGATAGTGTCATTGAATCGATTGTAAGACGTTTCAAAGACAGAGTTTTGTATCTTGTCTCCAAGCGATTGGTTTTTAAAAACAGCTTATGTGGGTAATGTTTCGAAACCTTAATTTCCATAACGTCCGTCCATTTGATGATTTCTCCGGAATCTGTACTTTTTGTGTTCAAAATTCGAAGTTCTTTGGATAACTCTTTGAAATTTAAGAAGTCTTTTTACTGTAGAACAAAAACGTCGTAGGAATTCTGCCTGCGTGCTAGTTTAAATACGGGAATAAGTTGTGAGGGTACAAAAAGATCTCCAACATGCTTTATCGCATTGGAAATTGCGCTGTGAGCAGAATCTCCCATCGTTTTGCCCATAGAAGGATTCGAAAAATCTCAAAGATATTTCTTCAATATTCTTAGAGTGTCGAACAGTATGTAAAAGCATAGCAGCCATTGTAGTGTTCTTGTTTTGATCACTGCATCCGACAGAAAATAATGAGGCGTGTTTCACCCCTCGCAAGTCATAAGCTTGTAATGCGCTGTACACGCATGTTGCAATTTCTGATGAGCCTCTCTTAAGGAGCCTATTCACACGCGGACATGTGCGGTGGATTTGATCGGCGAACAGATCCGTTATTTAGTACATACAATGAAACAAATTCGTCGTTTAACTACACACATTGCAACAAATCCATCTTGCAGTAGCACGTGTTTCCTAGCAGTCAGGAGTGATTTTTGTAAGATATGGATTCAATTACTACAAAAAGAAATGTAGCACTGATTGGGGCTTACATTGCATTGTTTGATGAAAAAAAAAAGAAAAGGATCTGGTGTAAACGTTGGTATTTGGAAAGACGGAGATATTTCCATATGAGTTTAATTAGAGAACTGAAAACCAATGAGCCTAGTGATTTACATAATTTCTTTCGTATGGACAGTGAATCGTTCGAAACATTGCTGCAGTATATCCGGCCCATGATTGTACGAAAAAATACACATATTAGAGAAGCAGTAAGTGCTAGAGAGCGACTAGTTGCCACGTTACGATACCTAGCAACCGGAAGATGTATTGCAGATTTAAAGTTCAGTTGTGCTATATCACCACAGTTACTGGGTAGTATTATACCTGAAACTTGTTGGGCATTATTTAAGGCGTTAAAAAAGGAATACATGAAGGTATGTTATTTTTATTATTTATAAATCGTTTATAACTTACATTTATTACACTCTATTATTAAATGAAATAAATTCAGAAAGTTCGTTCGCGTTAGGGGCTGTGATCATTCCATTCAAAGACGAACGTTCCGCGAGTTGACTATTCTTCTCCACTTGTGTGGAAGATATTGGTGCTGGCGTGTATTGAGTTGGCTGTGTGTAAGTTTGTGTAATTTGTGCCGTGTATGGCGGTACTGGTGTACANCTGCGTCTCTCTAGTACCAAAATTAAACAGTAATATTCTTACGTAAAGAAATAAAATAAATACATTTTAGTTAGTGTGTAAAAAGGGACTGGTTTCAGTACCTGCGTCTCTCTAGTACAAAAATTCCAAAGTTATATATATTCTTAGGTAAAGAAATTAAATAAATTTAAGTATTTCTTAAATATTTACAACAGTAAAAGATTTTGTTGAGGATTATATTTATTTTTGTTTTACAAAATTTAGAAATATATTCAATTATTGTAGATTCCTAAATACATAATATACAGGTGTGTACACTATGGCGAATAATCAACACATAGCGACAATCTTCAGTTGATTCAAAACAGAAAAGTCTAATGTTAAAATGTTGTACCATACTTCATATGCCTTAGGAAGAATATGAAAGTACATGAAAACGTGTACATTGGATGATTATTTGTATCAAAATAATTCATGTAAATAAATTTCATTAATTTTAATCAATAATAAAAATCTAACTCAACAATTATTGCATTTGTGCACACTGTATAGGAGTACTATTTATTATAATATATTTAATTTATATTCTGGATTTTTTTAATTTTTAGTTCTATAATTGAATTTACTTCAAATTTTTGTTACTTTTATTTAACGTTCATATCTTAATTAAATTATTAAAACGAAACGTAAGAATTCGGATCGATATACCTATTTTAAAAAATGGTAAGTTATATTTCGTTTCATATTATTTTGTGCTTTTACGGTTAATTCCTAAAGAATGAATTTGTATTTCTACGAAGTCGTAAAAGATTCAATGGTAGATAGAGTACGCACGATCTCGCAAAAACTGGTACGCCACACCACCAATCCTTTGAGGGCGGGGCTAATACAAAAATTAGGAAATTATTACAATATTTCGGCGTGGGAATTTCTCATTTTCCTCCTTTATTTTATGAAATATCAAAAAATTTTATTTAGAAAAAGTGTTCGTTTAATAATTATCTACGCCTCTTCTGAGCCCTTTTAGAAATGCTTCTTAATAATCTCGGTAATTAACAATAATTAATCAAATATCTCGCAGAAGAAGCATAGATTTTCCATTTTTAAACAACTTTTGTTTGAAACTTTTTTTGATATTTCAAACGGTTAACGCGTATTATTGGAAATACGTTTGTCGTAGCGGTCGAACAGCCTTAATATTCGCCAAATTGTGAGATTGTGGCTGCTCTTCGAACTGCTTCTCCATTTTGCCCAAGCCTCAGTCGAATATTGCCATTTTTATTAAGTTCTTTTTTTAACAATTCAATTCTTAAAACCTTTTCTTCATTTTTAACTTTTCTTCCTCAATTCTTATTTCATATAATTCTTTTTCGACCCTTAACTTTTTGAAATTCTTTTTCCTTTTCGTCCTCTTTCTTTAAAAGTTCTTCTTTCAATAAAAGGACACGATTTTTTAGATCGGAAATTAATGTGTTTCCTATAAAATTGTCATTAGTGTGCAGTAATGTACATATTTTATATACCATTAGGTGTTCCCTTCGCCCGTAAAAGGGGGTTTTTCGATTTCTTAACTTGGACGGTGTGTACTCTCGCCAATCTACGTAGTATGTATGTTGATTTCAAAATACCATCTGCCATAATACCATCTGGAGACACTAAATCTAAACTATTTTCTACATCATTGGATGTTGTGGGGCTTTCTTCTGGTGTCGAAAGCGTTTGTGTCGTTGGTTTAGTTGTGGATGGCGTTTGATCATCCACAGTTTCATTTCCACCATCTATGACTGAAATATAAAATATTTCTTAAATATTTTTCAAACCATATTAAATATATACGCTAAATATACAAAATAAATTTATTCCTCCTTTGATAGGTATGCTTACTGTTTACATCGCTGTGGTTTGAAGGTGTTTCTATTCTAAAATCGCTGTCTCCTTGACATGCTGCCAACCCAACTACTGAGTATTCGGTGAGGCTCTTTATCTTTTCAAACACCATCCTTCAACTCAGCTTTATATTAATGTCTGAACTCCCTCCCCCAGTAGTGTATAGCTGTTGGTTCACCCGAGCAAAAAATTTTCTTGCCTCTTTTTTGCGTTTATTAAATTTTCCGCGCAGTTGGTCAGTCGATCTTGGATCGGTCGTTGCTGCATTATATTGTTCCGCAATTTTTTGCCAAGCATTATTCTAAACAGTAAACATTTTAAAAATAGTCAATTAGAATTTAGAATTAACTTTACCTTTTCCCTCCACGTGGTTACGTCGGTATTTTTGCATTCTACTATTCGATATTTATCTATTATATCGACTAACAAAGAAATGTCGTTATCGCTGTACCAAACACGTTTAGGGCCATAACCCACTAGCGCGACATGCCGCACGCGACATGTCGCGAGCGATTTCTTGGACGCGACAAATCAACTTGCGACAAGATACGGCAAGGACAAAATCAAAACATAAAATGGACGTCGAAGAGGTAGCAGCTTTGCTCTTTTATTATAATCGTCGTCGCAAAAAAAATAAGACGAAGATTCTGGGTTCACCCCATATTTTTAGAGCGCCCAACAAAAGGTGTTTTTAATACCCTCTACAACGACTTACGCAGACACGAAGATAAGTTTTATAATTATTGTAGAATGAGTATTAAATTGATGAACTACTTATGCTTATTGGACAGCGAATAAAAGGACAAGACACATATTTTCGTAACAGTATATGTCCTGAAGAAAAACTCTTGGTTACCTTAAGGTAAGTAGATTTATTTAATACAATTTATTATTTTTTATTTTTATTCATAGTTATTACTTTTATAAATGTATAATATGCTGCTACAAAAATTGTTCTTTTTAATACAGTATTACTAATACTATTAAAATAATTCATATAGCGACGTATCAGATGGTGGAGATAGGGGTCCAACTGATTGATTTGAATGAATTGAGAATGAGGATGATGGTCGGCTAACATAGTTTTGATTGGATGTACTTTGGATGTGCTGATTTGAATGCGTATAGGTTGGTTGATATGTGTTATACTTTTGTAAAATATTGATCATATCAATTTTCGCCATTGATTTGAATGAGCTTGGAATTTTTTTAAAGTCTTCTAACAAAGACAATACAAATAATTTATCCGAATCATTTTCACGTTCTTCTCTGCTACTCGATTTTAATACATTAATCATCTCGGTACCAATGGGATCATCAATACTTCTCTTTCGATTTTTTTTGATGTGTGCGAATATTCGACGCATTTTCTTTATCTGAATTGGTTTCCGCGTTTTCATTATTCATATTGGATGAAGTTGGAGCATTTGCTGCTACCACATTAAGAAAGTTTAATTGCTTAAAATATATGTACTGGGTTTTCTTAGGAGCAGCGGAACCAGTTCTTACATTTTTTATACGTCGTAATTCCCGAAAGCAGCTGTCCCTAAGATTTTTCCATTTTTTAGAGATAGATATTACCAAAGTAACTCTACTAACTAACTAACTTGTAACAGGAATTAGAAAAGTGTGAAGTAACCACACTCATACTCACTATAATTTCGCCTCATTGTGTTTGGGTATGCATTATTTAGAGTAGAGCTACTGAAAGATTCGATTATGCTAATTGAATTTTCGCAGCAGGCTTTTTGTGCTCGGAAATTTTCTTGAAAGAAGATAAAAGGGACAGCAGAAACATTCTATCCTCATCGCGTTCCAACAAGCCTCGTTATTTTTACGCGTATCAATACATTTGTCTAAAGTGTCCAGTAATTCTCTTGTGCCATCATCTAGCGTTTTTTTCTTTTTTCTTCCGATTATATGTTCTCTTGAGTGTGGTCCTAAAGGTTCTTGATCATTTGTAGACTGTTCTTCCGCAATACTACTCTCTATGGTCGAATTACCAGTAGTGTTCTTCAAAAACAACAGCTGTTTGTAATAAATATAAGAAGATTTATGAGAAACAGCAGAGTCGCTTTTGATATTTTTAAGTCTTCGTGTTTCTCTTGCAAAATAGCTTCTTATATTTTTCCACTTTTTTTTGAAGTGTTTGACCTGTAAATAAATTATAAATAAATTTGTTATTTCAAATATTTTGAAAGTGGTTACAAATTTATAGATCTACATTACTCATACAGACTTGGGATTTCTACTATTGCTGAAATAATAAGAGAAGTTTTTCATTTTATACGGGTTGTACTGAAAGACATGTGTTTACCAAAACCGACAGCAGAACATTGGTTAAAAATTTAAATAAACGATTTTAATTCACGAGCCAATTTTCCAAATTGCATAGGTGCAATTGATGGTGGATCAATGTGTTATAATTATAAAAACTTCTTTTCTATAATTTTACTTACCATTTGTGACGTTGACCACAAGTTCATATACATAGATGTCGGTTCTTATGGAAAAGATAGCGATTCTACAATGCGATCAAGAAAGCCGGTCTGCTAAAAACTACTTTCCCAAGCGCTTGATACCAATACTTACTGCCCTGCTCACACCGGTCACACCCTCGTTCCACTTCTACTTGTTTTAAATAGTGGTGGGGAAATGGGAGGAAACTTTTAGTTTAGTAAACACAACCTTAGAAACTCACACGCACAAAATTAAAAATGTTACTCCGTTAAACAAGATTCGAAATAATTTCTCTCTGGAGTTAGACTGGTGGATGTAAATTTAAATTATGATGAAAATAATTAAAAAGGATTCACTAATAAAAAGAGAACCCTTTAACCTATTCTTTTTTAATTAATTTATTTCATGAATCAAAAAAAATCTTTTATTTTATTATAAAAATACAGGTTTGCAAGTTTTGTTTTATTTATTATAAAAAAAAGTCAAAATGTTGACCACATAAAGTAATTCTTCTCTTCATATTATCGAAGACGTGTACAAGTTGCTCTCCGGTTATTTGCAGAATGTTGTGTCTTATTGCATCTTCCAATTCTTCTATGGTATGTAACCGGTTTTTGTAGATAGAATTTTTTAAATGACCGAATAAAAAGAAATCTAGAGGGGTTAGATCGGGTGAGCGAGGTGGCCAACATCCTCTACCAATTACTCGATCATCATAAAATTCTTGAAGGAATCTTTCAGTTGTTCGTGCAGTATGTGCCGTTGCATTATCATGTTGAAAAAATCCTTGTTGCAATTCATCAGGATGTAATTGTTCAATGAATTCTTGTAACAAAGCTTGGTACCTTTCTGCATTGACTGTGTCATGGAAAAACACAGGGCCAATAATTCTACGTCTTGACATAGCAATCCATACTCCTATTTTAACAGGATGTAACTGTGCTTCATTGAAAACATGTGGATTTTCAGAACTCCAATGTCGATAATTTTGTGAGTTCACATAACCA